GGTGGGTGCTTTGGGAGGAATGGTTGGAGAAAAGACTGGAGGGAGGCAGCATGTCTGGCCTCTCAGGAATAGGCCTTGGGCTATTGATAGTAATTCTGTCTTTCTCTAGTGGGATTAGAGGAGGTCAGAACATGTGGCCTCCTTGCCGTTTTTGCAATAACTAATGCATGTGTTTTTCCTTTTCAAGTACAACACTAAAAGAATGATTTCAATGACAAGATATCAGGATGAACTCTATGGAGAGTCCAAACCAAAACTAAAACAAACCCAATGCCATTGAGTCGATTCCAACTCATAGCTACCCCCATTGGTTTTCTAAGGCAATATATCTTTATGGTAGTAGATTGCCTCATCTTCCTTCTGTGGAGTGGCTCGGGGGTTTGAACCACTAACCTTCTGGTTAGCTGTCAAATGCCTTAGGCACTGCACCACCAGAGCTCTTTCTATGGAGAGCAGGAATGCGTAAAGGTCTCAATCCTATGACTACACTAATTGAATCATTATGAGCATAAGTACTGTACCCAAGAAAGAAAGAAGATTAACCATTCATTAGATGATAGTTTTTAAAGCCAGGGTATGGGTACACATGAATTCACTGCAGTAGTCTTTGTTTCTGTTTGAAATCTTTTATAGTAATAAAAATAAAAAATAAAAAGTACTGTACCTCAAAGTTCTTTTTCCAAACAGCACAAACATCACTGGACCTAAAGGATACAATGACAAGGGAATCTTCTCCACTCGAATCCATAAGTTGAACTGTGCAAGGATCTCCAGATGGAAGCTGGCACACGTTTTCAGGAGCACCATTTTGGAATGAAATCAGCTGATTCTTTTGAGTAAGGGCAATCAGAGACATTCTTAACTGGTTATTCACTAACTCAGCTGCACAGACATGCACACAAGTTACCACACTGCTGTAAGCATGAGGGATAACATATGTATCAGATAATATTTCTTGACGGTCAAGAGAATAGACACAGAATTTGTTATCCCAAATAGCACAATCTGAGTCTGAAGTATTCTTTGTGCATCCCAATAAAACAATACCCAGATTTTCAATCTCCCCTGCCCACATGACAGAAGAAAGGTTAACTGGCACACTAACAACTGTGTCAGTTTTGGAAGAGATACAGAAGACGGTCTGGGCATGTCTCCATAAAACTAAAGGGCCATTAAGGACCTTTAAGTCATCCTTCAATTCACAGCCTGGTTTAAAACTCCATCGCTTTTCAAATTCATTGGTACTGTGAAGCAACAGTAGAAAATATTTTAGAACATTCTCCTTATTTCTTTGTATCATAACATAAGGGAGGTTAAGTCCAGTCCTGAAGTCAGACACACAGCTGCAAAAAATAATTTTAAAATTTGCATTTTCTTCCTCCATGCTAAAAAATCCAGTAGACTTCTGAGCAAATGTTCTTGTTCCTTTGTCAAACATCATTCTTCTGACACGTAATATGGGTGTTTTTGCAGCTTCTGTATGGGCAAGCTCTCTGTCACACAACTGAAAAACAAGGACTTCCCCATTGTAACTTAAGAGTCCTTCTTGTTGGTTAGATGGCATTGCTGGTTTGCTGATCAGGCCACAATATCAAGTCTTTGTGTTGATGTGCTTTTTGCAAACTGATTTCACTTGATCCTTTAAACCTAAAAAAGAAATGAAAAGAAGTAGGCAGAGTTTTTTTTTTTTTTTAATTTTTTCTTTTAGAGACCTATCACATAGATAACTATAATTCCATCAAGTGAATCTTCTTAAGTTTTTTTAAAATACCATTTTAACAATGCAAAATTTATCAAAAATATATCTCTTAAAAAACTCAATTGGCCAAAAAGGTAATCAAATGTGTTAAGAGCATTTATTTCAAGCTTTAACACTCTACTAAAACTGACATCAGATTTCTTTCTGGCTCAGAGATT